AGTTACTGTAGAAAAAAAAAAAGGCCTAATGTCATAAAAATCCCCTAAAAATTTACAATAAATTGTCTACAGCTGTTGTAGTTACTGTGGGCTGCTGAGTGTTTTCACACACTGGGTCTAGTGGGAGGCGAGGAGCTAACATAAGCCTTGACTGGCCTGAAACCCTGGTGGTTCCCTCAAAGCCCTTCTAGGCTATTCTTTGGTAAGTGCACTTCTCTTTAGCCAGCACAGAGCTCTCTCTTCCCCCTCTCTGCTCTTCTCTCACTGCAGCACAAAATGTACCCATCTGGCCTCTGGACCACTGACCACTTCCATTTGGAAGCACAGGTCTCTGTTCTTTGAGATTCAAGCCATACACTCTTATTTTCTTAAAATATTGTTATTAAAAATTTTAATTTCTTCTCTTTTTTGAGATTATAACCTCCCCCTTCCCTTTCCTCCTTCCAAAGCCTCTCACACACCCCTCCTTGCTTTTTGCTCTTTTTCTAAGTCATAGCCTCTTTTTTTCATTGACTGTAAAGTACATAATGCATAGGTACAGCCTGGTTTCTGTAATGGTCTCGGTCAGGCCAGACCCTGGAGAAGGGTATACAGGAACCCATCCCAGTTTATAATCCTCTACCTCGTCTTACCTAAAAGCTGCCACCTAATCTGCCGGGCAGCTTGTGTGTGTGTGTGTGTGTGTGTGTGTGTGTGTGTGTGTGTGTGTGTGAATGGAGGTCAGAGGACAATCCTAGTTGTCATTCCTTAGGTGCTGTCCATTTTTCTCCTTTGGTCTGGAGCTCTCCAAGTATACTAGGCTGGCTAGCCAGCAAGCCTCAGGGATCTGCCTGTCCCTGCCTCCTCAGTGCTAGGATGACAGGCATGTGCCACACGCCTGGCTGGGGAGAGAACTCAGACCCTCGTGTTTGTGTGACAAGCCCTTTATCAGCTGGGCTATCACCTCGGCCTAGGAGCTTCCTTTTCACTTGGTCCAATTCTGGAACTTGTTTTAAAAAGCATCAAGTAATGTTCAGCTTCTTTTCAGTTGAGGTTCAACTTCCCCCTTTCCTTTAATCCCCATGGAAGAGGTTGCCTCACTTTTCTAGGCCATCCCACTAACTCCATGGTTCTCAACCTTCTTGTAACCCCTTAATACAGTTCCTCATGCTGTAGTGACCGCAGCCATAAATTTATTTTCACTGCTTCTTCATAACTGTAATATTGTTACTGTTGTGAATCCCCCTCTATATTTTTGGAGACAGAAGTTTGTAAAGGGGTCTCGACCCACAGGCTGAGAACTACTTCTGGAAGCCCCACCCCCGCTCCTAAGGTTGTGTCTCCTCTATCTCTTGCGAGGATCACTGGGTTTCAATTGTCTCTTCTACTTCCAAGCATTCAACACACTCCCCCTTGTCACTTTAAAACACATTCTGATTGGAACACGATTCACATACTATAATCCTCTCAAAAATGCAATTTTAGAGGTTTTGGTTATACGACCATCACCACTGTCCACACCAGAACATTTCATCACTCTCCACAAAGAAACCTGATACTCATTTACAAATTAATATTCCTCCCGGCTCCTAGCCATTACAGTGCTCCTCACAACCACTGATCTGCTTTCTGTCTCTATGGATTCAGCCACCCCAGACGTTTCATTTAAGTGGAAGCATGCATTCTGTCTGGCTTCTTTCACTAACCCCGTGTCCAAGTTTTCTACATTGCAGCATGTATTCAGGTTCATTTCTTTTGATTAAACAATTGTATTACATAGTTACATTGGGTGCCATTGTAACAAAAATAACTGACAGAAACTTAGGAGAGGATTTATTTTGGCCGTTTAAGAAAGGGAAGAAGGCCAGTTAGCTAGCTCAGCAGGTTGAGCCAGCTGCTAAACCTGGCAATCCCAGCTGATCAACAGGACCCACAAGGTGGAAGGCCAGGGATCCAACGGCAAGTTGCTCTCTGACCTCTATGTGAACTCAGGGGCATGCGTGTGCCCTACCCCTCCACAACAGAAGAGTCAATGCGTTTTAAAGAATAAAAAGAGGAGAGACATCAGTTGTATCTTTCCATCCCGCGAATCAGATAGCGGCGGCAAGCTGCCGGCCAGGAAATGACCCTCACTAAACACAGCTCGGCCAGCACTCCAGAACTTGGATCTCCGATGTCCCAGTCTCTGGAGCTGAAGAAGAAGAAAGTGCTGTTTAAGCCTCCCAGACTGTTATTGACAACACCAACTGTAACATCTGCTGATGGCAATTGGAGTGTTCCATTTTATGGCTACCTTATTGCTATGCATGGGGCCACCTATTTTTGTGTGGACATATTTTCATTTCCACCAGGAACACATCGGAGTGCAATCACTGGGTATGTGGTAATTCTATGTTTGACGTTTTGGAAGGCCGACCAGATTTTTTTAGAAACCACGTCCATGCTGGGGAAGATGGCTCAGGGGTTGAAGTGCTTGCCCTGCAAAGGTGAGGAATGACTCAGAACTAGCTTCAGTAAGGAATCCCCAGCGCACGCTGGCCAGCAAGACTGGCCACAGCAGAGACCTCGGCATATGCCTGAGGGGCTTGGCCTCACCGGATAAGGCGGAAGCCCAATCAAGTACGATTTTTTGAACAATTTACCTAATTTTATGTGAATTGGTGTGAGGGTGTCAGAGCCCTTGGAACTGGAGTTACAGACAGCTGTGAGCTGCCATGTGGTGCTGGTAACTGAACCCAGGTCCTCCTGAAGAGCAGACAGTACTTTTAACCACTGAGTCATCCCTCCAGCCCTCAAGTATGACTTTTGACATTGACCTCAGGCTTCCATGTATACTAGAACACATATGCACCCACACCCATTCACATGTCTGTCCCCCCACCCACTCCCCGACAAACAAGCATATGTGATATGTACACATATGTAAACAATGAAAAAATCAAATAAAATGACCACATCATATTACATCCTCCTGGCAATGTATGGTTCCAATTCTTAAACATCTTCACCAACACATTTGCCATTGTCTTGATAATTAGTCATCCTGGCGGGGGTGGGGGGGGCAGTATTACAATGTGGTTTTGACTTGCAAGTCCCGGGTGGTAAATGATGTTGAACAACTCCTTAAGCACTTTTTGACCATCTGTGTGTCTTAGCAGTTTGCCTGTTATTGTTTAAGGATGCTCAAGTTTCTACCATCATAAAGCAAATAAACCTTCGCCAACTCTGGCTCCCAGATGCAGCCATGGCTGAAAGAGCTGCCTGTTCTTGGGGGTTCCACCTAGCCTCTTGGCAATCTGCCTCCTGAACCTAATCTTTTGCAAAGCTGCCCTCGGCAAGCCCAGTGGCTGCTCTGTTATGGAATCCAGTGGTCCTTTTCATTCTTAGTTCAATTTCCTTGTGGTATTTAACACTAAGGTCCTCTTCATTTTTCCTGAAAGGCTAGAGATCCTTGGCTTGAGTGATAACACATGCTTCTGGGTTTTTAAAAAATCCATCTCTGGTTGCACTTTTTCAGTTTTCTCACTGGGATTCTCTTATTCTGTCCATTCTAAATAATAATAATAATAATAGTAATTATTATTATTCGAGCTTGTATGTATGTGTGGTACATGTCTGCTGACAAGTTGGATGACCTGAGTTTGATCCCCAGGACACACAAGATGTGTGGTCACACAGGTGGGCTTGTTGTGTGTGTTTCAGAGGTCAAAGGTTAATGCCAGATGTCTTCTTCTATTGCTCTCTCACTTTATCATCTGGGACAGGGTCTCTCAATGAGGGGCTCTCTAGCCAGCGAGCTGCTCCTCTGGCTGCCTTAGCCCGCCTACCCTGAGTACTGACGTTACAGGCTCAACAAGCCTTCACTTTGAGCTTACCCTGGAGCCGTATCCCCCATCCCTCATTTTAAATCTTGATCTCTCCCCAGAGCAACACCCTTGGGTTCAGCTAGTACATCATTCTGCCAAATCTTCTCTCCGCTGGCTAAATTCCCACTCTGGGCTCTGTCTCATCAGCACATTCGCATGGATTTCTATTTGTGCTCAAACTTTATTCCGAGCCAAACATTTCACCTATGTCTCCCTTCCCTTCCCTGCTCCTGAGTACTAACATTAGTTAATACATTCTTGAAACAAATCTTAAGTCGTTTGTCTAATTCCTTCCATTCTCCCTGTCTACACTCTGGCCCCAAATCCATTTCTTTGAATTTTAAAAATTTTAATTATATTTTTATTAATTCTTCAAGGATTTCATACAATATATTTTGATCATATGACGTACACCCCAACTCCTCCCAGATCCATCTGGTCCTCCAAACCCACCAGCATCGGATGAGAAGCTCTCCCTACCCTGCCTCTTCTCCAGGGCTAGCCACTGTCTTTCTGACATGCAAATCTCATCCTGTGATTGCTCTGTTCAAAACGAGTTATCGTAAGAGATGGACGGTCGGGGCTTTTGAGTTAGATGCATTCGGATTTCAGTTTTAACACCATAAATATATATCTGCAAATGATAAGTAAATGTTGTAACTCCTCTTTATGTCTTTATTGACTAAAAGAGCGAGGTTGGGAAGAGGAGGAGAAGGAGGAGAATCAGAAAACGAAGAAAAAGAAAAAGAAGAAGAGAGGAGGAGGAGGAGGAGATGATTATCATCCTAAAGGCCTCCCTGAAGACCGGTTGGTTCACCTGGGCACGTTTTAAATATTCAATCCATTTGACTATTGCTTCTATTAAAATCTTTCAGCCGGGGCAGATCAATAAATCCCACTTTCATCCCCGAGTGCGGGGATTAACCGGAACGACTTTAGGGAGTGAACTCTTTTAAAAAACAAGAAGAGTGCTTTAGACGCAGAAGCCTGCCGATCTAAAGCACTCCCGCCCCGCAGATAAGTGCCAGGAGGAGAGTCGGCCGCCCGCCGGACGACCCGGCGGGCCTGCCTGGGGATGCCGCCGGCGGCCCCGACCTCCGCGGCCTGTTACCATGGCGACGGCCCGGTCCCCCCCCCCCCGACCTCCGTGCTCACCTTGAAGGACATCCTGCACGTGTGGCCGCCGCTCCCCGCTCGCCGCCCGCCGCCTGCCGCAGAGGGGCGGCCCGCGCGCTCCCGCCGACACACAGGGCGGCGCCCGGCCGCGCTCCCTGGGCCCGGACTCCGCGCGCGCGCGCTCCCAGCGCTCCGCACTCACGTCACCCCCGCAGGCGGCTTCCACACGCGGACTTCTGCACGCTCTGCAGCCAGGACGAGCTCCACACCGACCTCCTACATCAGCATCCTCCCCACCACGCGCACGCACACACACACACACACACACACACACACACGCACACACGCAACTTCTGCACAGTGTTCAGAGACACCCAGGACTCCCTCCACACCGTATCCTGCACCACACACACAGCTTTCGCACCCAACGTCCACACTGATGGCCTCCACCACACAACGGAGCCTCCACGCACGGTGTCCACACTCGCACTCAGGTTGCGGACAGTTCTCCACGCTCATGTCCTCCTTCACGCCCAGAGCGTCCACACACCAGGTTCTCCACATCACACTGGTGACAGCCTCCACACTCGGGCCAAACCATTCACCCAGGTTCTCCGTGCAGGTGTCCCACACACAGGGCTTTCGCACATGAAGTCTCCACGCCCAATCTCATTCCTTCTCATTTTTTTCTTTTGTTCTTTTTCAAGAATATGCGGGTGCCCCCCTCCCCCGCCCACTTTGGTAGTGTTGGTGGGGAAGTCCTTGAAAGAAACCTTTTGATTGCATGAGTAATGACCTTCCTTTCTGGAGTAGAAAGGCCATTTTATTTTAATTAATTTATTTATTTATTCACTTTCCATCCTGATCATAGCCCCCTCCTTCCTCTCCTCCTGGTCCCACTCTCCCCCCACCCCCTCCCCCTTTCCCTATTCCTCAGAAAAAGGGAGCCCCCCCCAACCCACCCCAGTTCATCAAGTCCAATCTGGACTGAGCACTGAGTGCATCCTCTTCCAGTGAGGCTGGGCAAGGCAGCCCAGCCAGCAGGAAATGATCAAAAAACTCCTAGGCATATATCCAAAATATGCTCAAGTACACAACAAGGACATTTGCTCAAAAATGTTCATAGCAGCTTTATTCATAATAGCCAGAATCTGGAAACAACCCCCAGGTCCCTCAATTGAGGGATGGATATAGAAATTGTGGTACATTTAGACAATGGAACACTACTCAGCAGTTAAAAACAAGGAAATCATGAAATTTGCAGGCAAATGTTGGGAACTAGAAAAGATCTTCTTGAGTGAGTTATCTAAGGAGCAGAAAGACACACAGGGTATATACTCACTCATAAGTGGATATTAGAAATATAATATAGGATAAACATATTCAAATCTGTACACCTAAAGAAACTAAACTAAAGAAGGAGGACCCTGGGAAGGATGCTCAATCCTCACTCAGAGAGGCAAACAAGGAGCTCCACAAGGAGAGCAACAGAACCAAAAAATCTGGGCCCAGGGGTCTTTTCTCAGACTGATACTCCAAGCAAGGACCATGCGTGGAGATAACCTAGAACCCCTGCTCAGATGTAGCCCATGGCAGCTCAGTGTCCAAGTGGGTTCCCTAATAAGGGCAACAGGGGCTGTTACTAGGGAACCCACATGAGGCCCGAGGTACCCATCAGCTATGTCTGTGTAGAGAGCCTAGGTCCAGTCCATGCATGGTCCTTGGTTGGTGCTTTAGTCTCTGTAAGCTCCCTGGGCCTTTATTTTATTTTATTTTATTTTATTTTATTTTATTTTATTTTATTTTATTTTATTTTATAGCATCCTTTTCCTGCCTATATGTTGTACACCTGTCCATTCATCCCATAGACCATATTCTCTCGGTGTGGGCTTGGTGTGGGCAGGTCACTTTTAAAATTAAAACGTATTACTTTAATGTACAAAAGTAAAAATAAAATTAGAAGGGTAAAGGTGAAAGGCAGATGTCTTACCCTCCAGCATGGGAGGAACCTATGTCTTCAGTCCCTCATTGACCTGTCTGTCTCTCCGGCCCTCTCCTCAACTGCATTTGTGATGAATATTTTTTTTTTTGAAGTTGTTAAAGATACAAGTACAAATAAATTTCTAAAAACTGAATTCCGAAAGTGGAAATGTTTACTTTTATGAACTCCTATTTATCAGTTCTTGCTGTTAGTGCTTAGACTAATGGAGTCGTGTTCAGGAAGTCCTTGCCCATGTCTGCTGTGTCTGCTGTTTTTCTTCCAGCAATTTCAAGGTTTCCTTGATCCATTTTGCATTGACAACATTTTAGTTTTTCTTAACCAAGAAAGACTCAAACCTTGCCCCTTTTTCTTGCCTATCTATATAGACAAAACGAACTTTCAAGTTGCTGTGGTGCCCTGTCATATAAAACAGCAGAGCCTGTGCTTGCACGGTGGAGAAAGGAAAGAACAGACACTTAGCAGCTGGTTTCCTTGCAAAACCCCTGGGAGATGACGGTTCTAGCCCATTCCACGTAGACGCCTGGGGCCCCGAAATGAAGTGACCTACTAAGGACGGAGAAGGCAGCGCTTTAGCTAATCCTGTTCCCTCTGTACAGACCTCTTGCTTTCCGCCTGCACAGGCTGCCTGTTGAAGTTCTGGCAGCCTCTGGCCAGGGTGCTGATGGGAGCCCTGTCAGTCTCAGGAAAGACTGCGACTCACACAACCGTGCACCAGGCTGAGGGCCTTCTTCCTGGGCCCTGTGGGCGCTTGATATACCGTCCTACAACCTGCCTAATTCCATCCTCATCAAAGAGTCCCCAGAGGGAACCAAGCTGTTGGGGTCACCGTCAGGCAACTCCTTCTAAAATGCACTCCGCCACTGCACCCCCCATTTTGCCGTGATGGCACTGAGCCTAGCCCGGAAGGAAGTCCATGCCTTTCGTACCCAGGCAGGCCTTCCTCCTTTCTTGTCCCCAGCGACCATTTACTGTTTTTAGAACCGGGGGGGGGGCGTGATTGCGCATCTTGTTAGGTTTAGTTTTTTTCAGGGGTTTATTTACTTGCTGAGTCTCGTGGACTTCGCTCCTCTTCTTGGAGAGAATGTTTTAAAGCTTCATGAACCTTAGGGAACCCACCTCTGGGACGGAACGGTTTAAAACAGGGCAGGGGAAGAGATGTGGTGTTGAGTGGAGGGGTGGACAGCCGCCCCTACCATGACATGATGAAGCAGAAGGCCTTTACCACAAGGTTTTGGGCAGATGGAAGCACCATGCCCCGTGGGCTTTCCAGACTCCAGAACCATGTCCAAACGAATGCCAGCTCTTTATAAAGTGCTCAGTCTTCGGTATTTTGCTATAGCTACAGAAGATAGGCAGAGGCAGGGTCAGGCCTCTTGCTGTGTCCAAAGCTTTCTCTGCTCGGGTAACAGTACATCCAGGGCTTGCTTGTGCACACGTGACAGAGTCTGACTTCTGGGACTCCAGGGAAGCTGTTCTGGGTGCTGGTGGTCCTGGTGGTGCTGATGGCGGAGGTGGTGATGGTGGTGGTGGTGCTAGTGGTGCTGGTGGTCCTGGTGGTGGTGTGGTGGTGTGGTGGTGTGGTGTGCTGTGGTGTGATGATGTGGTGTGGTGTGGTGTGGCGCTTTGGCGCTGTGGCGCTGTGGTGGTGGGTGTGTGTGCCCGTGTGGATGTGCCCTGAGAGGGTCCCTTGCATTGGGATCTGTTCAGGAAGAGACGGTCGCCGTGGATACGATGCCTCACATTGCTACAAGCGTTTGTGACTTGGGGAGAGAATTGCAGTGGCAGAACAGACAATGGCGTCACTAAGGCCACGCGTCACCCCGTGACTCTCTTGCCCTGGATTTCTCGTTTAATCACGTGCAGTTGGTTTCTCCCTTGGTTTCCACTGGAAGACCCCTGCGAGAGGGCGAGACCGAAGGAGGAGGTCGGACAAAGGACCAGGAACTGACCCGTGTGAACCAGGCCCTCTCTGTGTTGACGGTTTGAATGTGCCTCAGACTTTAAGGCTCCTTCCAACCCTAGGCAAAAGCTGTCACTGCTGAAAAAAGAAAACGAAACAAAACCAAGCGAGAGCCTTGGCGGGCGAGAGACGCGGTTGTCACAGGGGTTTGAGCCCAGGCTGGCGAAGCCCTGCTCTCTCACTGTATTAGCTGACAGTTCGAAGGCAAAGTTTGTTGAAGCCGTGTCAGGAGGAACTCCCGAGCTCCTCACTTCACAGCGCTGGGACCGTGGATGACACCCAACCAGCAAGCCTGTTGCCTGTCGCTGAGTGGGCCTCTGCCACCTCGCTTCAGGAGAGCTGAGGAACCAGCCTCTGGGTGGACGCTGAGTCACTCACGGACACAGGAAGAGCAGCCTCACTGGGGACTCGGCTCTGGCGGATGCTCCGGGTAGCCGGTGCAGGGTGACCCTCTGGGACCCTGTCCCCTCCATCCAGCAGACAGAGACGGTAGTGGGGTCTGGCCTGGCGCCATACACCACACAAACTTTAGCATAGCCAAAGGGCGAGCGCTGAGCCTGAAACAGACGCAGACGTTCCCGCCTGCGAGGGGCGGTAGGCAGACACCTGCTCTCCATGGTCCCGGTTGATGCCCACTCTCCTCCTTTTTGCTCTGTACCGAATCTCTCTATTTGAAGACACCGCACAAATGAAGAACTGAAGCGGATGCTTTGGGGGAGCTTACAGCGAAGTCACTCTGTGGCTCTGGGGAGGTCAGCTTTGCTGCCGTGGTCACTGGGGCGCAGGGTGTACTTGTCAAAAGAGACATTGCACCGTGGCAGACTGGGGGCAAATTGGTTGCATGACCACTGAGTTCCTTGACGGATTCCACCCGCTTGGCTGTGGAGTCATGTGAGCAGGGTCATTTTTTGCCAGTGGCCACTTGGCACGGTTGCATGGTAGCTGGCTCACTCTCTTTCCCAATGTCGGGTGTACAGCTTTCAGCCTGCTCTCCTAGCCACCACGGTCTGGACTCTTGATCTCTGGCAGGGAGAGTTGGCCACCTAGTTGGTGCCGCACCTCCACCGTTTCTCAGCGTGCTTCCTCTCCTCAGGAGACCGATGGAGAAAGTATTTGGTGAAGCTCTTCAG